ATTAGTTATCTGTTAACCTTGACTTCATGCTGGCACCAGTATTATCAGATGATGAACATACTCTTCGAAAACTTACAGCAGAAATATCGTGTTTGGACTCATTAGATAGGTCACGAATAGAGTTTAAAAAACTTAAAATAAATGGTAAATTAGAAATAATGTATAAATACTCCTTACGTAAAATTCAACCACTTTAAACTTAATAATAATAATAATTAGGAAAAGAGAAAAGCTATACATGCACTGAAAGTAATTGATGCCTTCCACACAATATTTTCAGTATTAAACAACTCTGTTTGTTCAGTAAAAGTGTTAATACACTGGTAACCTTTAATCATATTTTATATGCAAACATTACATATACAAACCCTAAAGTTTTATTTCAGAATAGCCAGTAGTTTTCAAGAAATAAGTCTTTGAAATTGTACGTGTAACTTATACATATACTAGTTTTTTCACCATAACAAACAACACCAATATGGCCTAGTTAGTAGTTTACCTGTGTACCAATTAATAATAATAGTAATCTCAGGACAATTCACACAGCTTCATCTAGACCCAAGTTAAGCTAGCTGAAGATTATGTTATGGGTACTAGACAACTGATATAAATACAAAGATTTTTTTCGTAAATACATATATATTATCTATACATAGAAAACACCCAGACCGTTACAAACAATTTAATAATAAGTTAATAGTTTAATAAGTACGTACGTAATATTATCACATGGTAACAGCACGTATTATGGCAAAAATAAACATCGGCTGATTTGAAAAGATTTATTATAGTAATAATAGTAATCTCAGGACAATTCACACAGCTTCATCTAGACCCAAGTTAAGCTAGCTGAAGATTATGTTATGGGTACTGATATAAATACAAAGATTTTTTTTCGTAAATACATATATATTATCTATACATAGAAAACACCCAGACCGTTACAAACAATCATACTCATGAATACAAATGTTTGCAGCGTGCGAGGAATCGAACCCTCGACCACCAAGCAGGAATCAAAGCAGTGTGCTAGCTAAATCGCTAGACTACCGACAACTAGCTGTACACGCGACTTCGTCCGCGTGGAATTTAACTTCTTATATTTTAGAAAAATAAAGTTAAATTCAACACGGACGAAATCGCGTGTACAGCTAGTCATCAATAAAAAAACACGTAGGTATCTCTAATATATTATACACTAGCTGTTCCCGCGACTTCGTCCACGTGGTTTTTAACTTTATTTTTCTAAAATAAAAGTAGCCTAAGTTACTCCTTATTACATCAGATACCTGCCAAAAAAAGTCCCGTCAAAATCAGTCCAGCCATTTCAGAGATTAGCCGGAACAAACAGACAGACGGACAAAAATTGTAAAATATGTTATTTTGGTGTATGTACCGTATTTATATTCATATGCAAGTAGTAAAAAACGGTTATTTTAATATTACAAACAACAGGCTTCAACATTCTCAAGTACCACAAAAAAGATGTTTTTTCTATCAAATAAACCGTTTTTATTAAAAACAAGCTGTTCCCGCGACTTCGTCCGCGTGGAATTTAACTTTATTTTTCTAAAATAAAAGTAGCCTAAGTTACTCCTTATAAATCAGCTACCTGCCAAAAAAAGTACCGTCAAAATCGGACCAGCCATTTCAGAGATTAGCCGGAACAAACAGACCGACAGACAGACAGACAAAAATTATTTATTTATTCATCCAAAATAATACAAATTGTGTAGGATAACGTAATAGTAACATTACAGTAAAATTTTGTCAACAACATAATAGCAACTTAAATATTAAATCTCGGTATATCTATAGACTAGTTGGCCCCAGCGACTTCGTCCGCGTGAAATTTTATTTTATTTTTCTAAAATAACAGTAGCGTAAGTTACTCCTTATTACATCAGCTACTTGCCAAAAAAAGTCCCGTCAAAATCGGTCCAGCTATTTCAGAGATTAGCCGGAACAAAAAGACAGACAGACAAAACTTGTAAAATATGTTATTTTGGTGTATGTACCGTATTTATATTCATATGCAAGTAGTAAAAAACGGTTATTTCAATATTACAAACAGACACTCCAATTTTATTTACATGTATAGATGTATAGATTAAAAAAAAGTAACAGTCATAAGGCTAGTCGTATGCCTAATATATATAATAATGTAATAAATTCATTTAAACAGAAATTGCGGGAACATTATTTAAATTTGTAACTTTTTTACTGTCCTTCTCCTTTTTTCACATCTTTCTGTTATATCCATATAGTTCTCTCTATATTTTTTGTTTTTCTTACTTTCAATTTGAGACTGTACTTATAATTTGATTATCGGATCATTATGTATTTATTTATACATTTATGGGTTATATTTACATATATATTTATGTATGTATATTGTTATTTTTTATAGAAATGTATATTTTGCTTATCTTTATTATCTTTATAAATCTTTTTTTGACATTTCTTATTTATATTAGTGCACCGCCAATAATCTTTCGCTGCACCACTCATGGTTGCCTGGTAAATAACGCGGCAAAATATTAAGTCCGCCACATGTACAAATTTTTTTGTGCATTAAAGTTAAAGAAATAAAAAAAATACAATACTGTTTAATGAAAATGCGTATTGTCTAGTGCTTTGAGATGTATCAAAATAAGGTCAACAAAAAAGTCCGTGATGGTATATGTCTATCTCTTAAGGATAACCAACAATAACCATTTTTTATCTTTTACATTTTACGGGAATTTTTTTTATCGTATGTTTCCATTAAAATCATGTAAACTATGTTATTATGTCATAATCTAAAGAAATAATAATATTTTATAGTGAAATATCCACTATAAAATACCAAAAAGTAGCAATGTAATTCGTTACGCGCGAATCAGGTGTTATAAGGTCAAAGGTCGGTGCACCCCGCGTATTTGATAAATAGTGCTTCTCTGGATGTCTTTAAGAGAAAATGGCAGTATGTACGTGTATATGTACAAGTCCTTAAGTGTTAAGTTTTTCAAATGTACAATAAAGAATAAATATTTTTAAGTACAGTACTTACGTACATTAATATAATACCTACTTTTTACTTGTATCTATTGTTATCAAAATTAAATTATAAGTTCTTAACTTGACCACGACTATGTGACCCTCTCTTGGCGCCAAAACGAGTGAAAAAATGAACAGCATACGACGACGACGCAGTACCTATAGAGTGGAGCAACTGCTTATTCAGTTTTATTCAACTATTTAGTCCCTCCACCGTTACAATGAATGGAGGCGGATATTACAATGTACGTAGCATTGCGAATATAAAATATCTAGATTAGGTATAATAAATTCATAATTGATAGGCCGTTACGATATCAGAGCCAAAGTCTTCTTTCTTTGTTTATGTACTGTTAGATGCGACAGCGACTTTGTTTTTATATTACTATGTAATGATTGATATACCTAAAATAAATAAAATATCTGAGGTTTGGACAAAAATTCAAAAGGTACTTTATTTTGAAAAAGTATTTTGAAAATACCTATTTTGCATTTAGTATTTGAAATACAAAACACAAAACTATTTTTGTTTTTAGAGTGACATTTCTATGAATTCACTGTCGATAGCGAGCGGTGCGATGGAAAAAGATAACCGTTTATAAAAATATAATAAATAGCCCTGGACAATTAACACAGACTGATACTGAACTGATATAAATAGATATTTTTATTTTGTAAATACATATATAATATACATAGAAAACACCCAGACCGATGAAAACAATCGATGACCGATGAGTACAATTGTTTGCACCGTGCGAGAAATCGAACCCGCGACCATCGGATGTAAAGCGGTGTGACCACCGAGGCAGTCGAAATATATAAATAATCTTATGAATTTAATTTATTCTAATTTGTTTGTGTGCGCGGGGTGCGGTGTACGGTGCTCCCCCTGCCTCCACCGTTGCTGGAGCTTGCATGTATGGAGCATTGCGAATATAAAATATCTAGATTAGTAAATTCATAATTGATAGACCGTTACGGTATCTATATATATTCGGATTAAAATAAGTATCGCAGTAAGGACCAGTACATAAAGTGATCAACACAATTAATTGATTTTTGAAATATATATACAGAGCCAAAAAGTCTTTGTGTATTCAAAAAATATCTAATTTGTTTGTGTGCGCGGGGTGCGGTGTACGGTGCAGGGGGGACCCTGCCTCCACCGTTGCTGGAGCTTGCATGTATTGCGAATATAAAATATCTACATTAGTAAATTAATAAATTCATAATTGATAGACCGTTACGGTATCTATATATATTCGGATGAAAATAAGTATCGCAGTAAGGACGAGTATATAAAGTGATCAACATAATTAATTGATTTTTGAAATATATTCAGAGCCAAAAAGTCTTTGTGTATACCAAAAATTTAGCCGTTCGGAGCCATTCAGTCACGAATTATTAGTAAAAAAAGTGTCGAGTATATCGTACTATCGGCGAATATATATGGCCACATCGCAAAATAGAATGCGACGTTGCCATACCGCCTGAGATATACGCGATAGGAGTCAAGTTATTCAGTGCAAAAGGTGGAATCGGCAAGTGTTTAGGTTGTGGCGTGATCAACAAAGTGCTCAAAGAGGTGTTTATATATATATATATATATATATATATATATATATATATATGTACTGTAACACATGAATGGACAATATCATTACATATTATATAGTAGCAGTTGAGGCCATAAAGAACCTAAAGTACATTATAAGTTGAGGAAATGAGGAAATGAAACAAAAAATCTTAACATTTTAGACAATAACTAAATATTATGTTCATATTATGAAGTATGGAATAGGTCTTGTTGGACATACAATTATAAATGTGAAAATATCTCTGAATATATCTTATATAATTATCTTTTATCTCCAGAAAATAGTCTGAAAATAGGTGGAATAGAAAGTCTGTATGGTCTCTAAGTCTGTATGTATGTCTATATATAAATTATTTTTCAGTATTCAAGGAAAGATGGTTTCGTCTCATCAATAATTATTTATTCTATTTTAAAATAAGTGATATGGGGAAATTTGACACTAAAAATCCAGCTGGAATACTTATACTGGAAAATTCATCTATTCAGAAGGACAGTGATCAAAGCATACCATTTTCATTTTCTATATCATTTCAGTAAGTATGTTCTATATGTATAAGGTCCTAACAAGTATTTGCATACTCTACTAAGGATATTGTGTTATTACAATAATAAGGGAATTTCAAGTTTTGAAAGTGTTTTATTATTTAAAAAAATATATTGACACCAGAATTCAGTTACTCTATGTTAATAGGCTTTGGTTTAGATAGTAAGGAAGCATTCAGTGACTAAAGCAGCAAGGATAGACTGTCTGTTCATATATCTGAACACAATATGCAAAGAAACATATTTCACCGTAAAATGGACTTAAAATGTGAAAGTCTTTCAAACAGTCTCCATGTTAACTTCTTAAGTTTTTCTGCCTAAAAATGTAATGCTTAATTATAGTATAAAATAATTTATTTTGAAATGTCATCTGGTCATTAAATTTTTTACAGAGATGAACCTGAAAAGCGACACATTTTTGCAGCCCGAGCGGAAGAGAATGTCGCACAGTGGGTCTCGAAAATTGAAAAATGTACATATGAGTATTTGCGAAAACGACTTTATGAACTTCAGTCCAGAATATACTCTATTACAAGCAAGGTTTGTATCTTTGAGTCCAAACTATTTACTATATAATGCCTCTTTACAGGATAAGTAGAAAACTCTAGGATTTATTTGGATAAAATGTTAATTATAGCTTAAAATACTTGTTTTAATTTTAAATTAAAATAATAAAATAGAGTATGAAATTGCAATTTAAAATTGCCTATAAGTTGTTTCGCGATACATTGTCATGGTAGTTTTATCGGTAAATTACGTCAACTAAATTATTATAATAAATAATTAGAGATATTATTAATATATTCTATAGTTAATAGTAGCATGAAGTTAGATCATATATATATTTTTTCTTAAGCTGTCTCAGATTTAGAAATATTTATAGAGAAAATATTTTATCTATGAAACAAATTGCTTAAAAATATTACATAATTATTTCAAACGGTCTTCTGAGGTTTGGGATATAAAAAGTAATAACAATGTAATGTTGTTGTACAATGAAGATAAGAAAGAATCAACATAAGCTATATTTAAATGTTATAAATATATTATAAATTTACAAACGTGAATTTTGAAAAAATAAGTATGTTTACAATTTAATATATTTTAGCACAAATTAATTCCTAATTATTTTTTTTATTAAAATGGGTTTATGGAAATAAATAAATAAATTTATGATGAAATCAGTTTTAAGCGCTCCCACTTATATACAATAGTACAATGCAGGAGTAATATAATTACAAAGTTATCTTCATTATAACTTTGTACTCATTTCATGTTTAGAAAAATATTATCTTTTACCATACATATATAAAATTAGCAATTTTTATCGTATTATACTACAACTATTTAACATTATTATGTTTTCAAAACACAGGATCCGCTACTCCTAGTGCCAAGAAATGAAGGTGCTTGTCTTTGGGCACCGTCAATTCCTTTCTCTACAACACCAGCATGCACTGTAAATACTACATCATTCAGCTGTCACCTCCACGCAAGTGGCGGTTTTTCATTGGAAAGAAGCAAATCTGATGTACAAACACATAAAAAATTTAATGTGGAGTTTTCTAAGAAAGCAACATTCTATACTGGTGAACATAATCAGAATACGGAATCTAAAGAACACAGCATAAACAACAATTTTGCATTACAAAGAAGCAAAACTTCAGCGCTGTCTACTGGGAACATAAATCCAACAATTTTTGATAACCGACCTGCTTTATCGAGAGCAGCGCCTAGTCCTCCAGCGCGTGTGAAATTGTTGACTGCAAGTACACGCGCTGAGACCAACGATATAAGTAAAACCTTTACTGAACACGGGAAGTTATTAGCTACGACTGGTATATTAGATAAAACACCAATACCGCCTAAACGTAAAGTTTCGCCAAAGTATCTAGATGTTCGCGATGGTAAAAAAGAAGAATGTAGTGATAAACCATTAGATATGATGTCTGATGATCTTATTCAGTTTTAGTGAACAGATTATTTGTTTTGCTATCCCACCTAATGAAGTGTAAATGAAAACTTGCCCTGTAATTGCAATTTTTTTTGTTTGTAATTAAACTTAAAGGTGAATACAATGCCAACAACATCTGCGAGACGAAGGTAGGCGTGTCTCTTGTTTCGTTGGCTTCTTTGGATTTGTGGGCAATTTGAGATTTACAACAATCCACAAGATTCTCTGCCAACTTATTTTGACTTGTTACCTACGTGTTAGATACGTATATTTTTCGAGTATGATTTATTATATAAATATTGTACAATTCAAATTTACTAATATTTTGTAATAATGAAATTTATTGCTGAAACCTCAGTAATACTGACGGTCAATAAATTTGCTGTTGTACTGTATATGTCAATGAAACCCTTTACATACTCTGGTATGTAAAAGTTTTCATGTGTGTAGAGTCTCATCTTATGTGTAGAGTCATTGTCATTGTACCGTTGACCAAGAATTAATATTCTATGTCGAATCATCACTTTTAAATGTACTGGCTATAATATCCTCTTTTTTCGATAGTGTGTTTTGGTTTTATAATTTTATCCAGTATTTATTATTGTTCTGCACTGTTTGGGCAAACTGCGCAACTTTATAATTTACTAAACATTTTGGTGGCCTCCAATTTCTATTATTTTGGGCATACATTGCCGATACAGTCTCGTTAGTTTTTGCCTATTCCAATTTGTACATTGTAGTGAAAATTTTGTTCAATAGCATCTCTATTATTATAGTCTGTAGTGGTTTAGCAGTTCGGCGAACATAATACTACAGACCAATTCTGCACCACAGTAAAAATATTATATATCTGAACTAGACCTACACGCCATATAAAAATGAGTGCCGAGTGACTTTCGTGGATATTGTATTTTACATGACTATAATTAATGCTCTCTAAAGTTCTTATTTTTTTAGATAGAGCATTTTTGTCATCTACTATCTCAACAATGACTATACCCATAGATTGTCAAGTAGTAGACAAGTTTGCATAGCTAACTTCCAACTGGAATAATTGTCGAGATGTATTAGTTTATAATGTCATTAATAACAAGATGAATGCTTTAGGTAAAATAGTGTATTATTTATTAGCCCACGCTATATTTACTGTTCCATACCAAAATGATGAGTGACGTATGTCACGAGTTTTAGGAAAAACGATAAAATTTTAGTTTTTAACATTTAATGTTATTGATATAAAATAGGTATACTAATACGGAAAGTATTGTTATAATAACATAAAAGTGACTCGCCTACTTTAACATGATTTTGATTTAATGACTTATGTGTATTTATTCATTTAATCGAGGTATATATGTGAGTACGTAGTTATGTTGGTTACAATAATAGAGTCCCATTTGCCTTTGGACAGTACGTTTGTCCGAATACGAAAAATATAAATAATTGAAACGCATAAATATCCTTTTTTTAGGAAAAATGAAAATAATTTCATTAATTAAACAAGTTTGAGCAATACAATAACATCTGGATTTTAAACTTGTTATCGATTTAAATCCAATCCAATTTTGCAGTTTTTCAAGTAAGCCGAATATTTGTTAAACTCGAAGTATGGTGTACCTATAATTCAGGAGTTTTTAAGATTCCAAACGACGCAAGACAATATTTGAATCGGAATTTGTTTCCTGAATAGACTTGGTGATCAGTGTTTTATCTGATGGAAGGTTACTTTTAAGTGCTTTCACAATATTTGCCATTACGTTTTATTGCTCAATGTAATTAAGTATATAACAAAAAGATAATTGTAGATTTATTTTTATATAACGCCAGTAATTACTTGTTTATTTAACGGTTTCAAATATATATTTGAAATGGTAATGTATATACTTTTATAGGTAATAGTTATGTTACTATATTACGTTTCAGCGACTAAATGAAATTAAATTTGCACACATGTATCTTACTTCCCTCGCGATACAGTTAGGTACGTGGAGAAAATTAAATTAGTGTAGTTAGAAAATAAAATTATTTTAGTGGTGAAATATTAATGTCATTAGGAATACCAGACTACTATGATATCGGCCGGAAAAAATATGACATATTAGAGTGCCTATTGGAAGACGATATATGATCTTAAGTTAATAAAAAATTTGTTAACGTTTTATTTTTTAGACGGAAGTCTATTTCATTATCACAGTCGTTCTTAGAATGATCTTTTGTTGAAAAAAATAATAACAAAACTAGAATATAAATTGACATTAACCAAAAGTAACTATTACTTACCGTATGTATACCTACATACGCAATAGTTGCTCTACTTGCTACAACAACCACAAATTATAATTTGATTTTGTTATCGCGAACCAGAATAAGAAACACCTCCAGTATCCTCGTACAATAGTGAATTCGGCAGTAAGAAACGTTAGATATAACAATTATGCCGTTTGAATCTATTTAGTGTCTACGTCTTTCTGTTCAGTACTCTGTTACGTTACCTTCTAACTGACAGAGGTATACTGCGTATTGTATGATCATGTATTTAGGCGTTCAGTGATATTCTATTTCGGAGACTAGTCTCTGATTTGTTTAGCTTTGGTAATAACTTGTATTTTTGCACCACTGTAAATTAATAATATTTTTTTATTATTAGTATTTTAATACCTACTTATATAATGAGTAAACATTGATACATATTATGTATTGGATCTAAAAGATCTTTCAGTAAAAAAGCGTGATGAATTTGTTCTACAAAAGGCTATAATATTTAATAGGTGTAATAAGTGTTTTGATAAAAAAATATGGTAGGAATTATATATTATTATTATTATTAATAGGGATGGAAATGTAACAAATTTGTATTTTGCAGAGTGTACGATAACATTACATAAACATTAACATACAGACGGGGCGACCAGTGACTTGCTTCTAGATAACAATTGTTTAACTGCCGATCTCATCCAGTTACGGTTGCATTATAAAATAATTTCAGCATATTTAAAGAAACATGGTGCTAATTTTTATAGTACCGAATTCTAAGTTATACTTATACAGGTAAGGGTCGGCCCGCTTAATGAAATCTGCAGCAGCGTCTATTGAAATAATTTTACCTTGTTTTTGTAGTTCTATAGATCTAGAGTAACTAACCTCAATAGTTTGAGAGTAATGAGGCTAACAACCCTTAACAAGAACATTTATCTCTCAGTACCTATTTAATATATAGGTATATGACTCCATAAGCTTATTATAATATATATTATTATGATTTTTTACGATGTTAGAAACCGAAAAAAACGAGAAGTATATTTTTAAAGGTAGGTTTTTTGCAGGAACCTTATTGCCCCATTCAAAAATATATTTGTTATTTGTTCATTAATTATTATATGTTGAAATTCTAAAAGCGTCAAATTGTTAACACTTGCTAACTATATCTATATTATCGTCATTATATATGACGTTCATAGAATTCATAAATATGAACGAAAAGTAGATATATCTACAAATAATTGATGAATTTGGAAATACATAAGGAGTGATCAGATTTCATAGGGTTATCCGGGCAGACTGTATAACTATATATGAAATTATTTGTACTCTGACTACATTTTTGTCAATAATGAGATTATTAGTTTTATTTTACTATGTAGAAAAATATAACCTAGTCGAACAGTAAAGTACCAACTGACAAAGAAAGACATTAAACATGTGATAAATGTGTATATACCAATAGTCATATGTGTACTTTTAATACTAAGTTAATGAGACTATAAAATAAGTGTATAACAAGACTTGCTAACCAATTGTGGCGAAGTAGGATCATTTCCTATGATTCCTCGGTTATGACTTTTTTCAGCGTTATGTTATAAAATTATAAGGGATGCCCAGACCAGGAAAATAAACAACCTTTTACTTGTATGCGGATAATAGTGGCTATACAGGTCCAAATCTGGCACAAAACGATACTTATATAAAGTTATTTTTTAATAATTTTCGTCTATTGACATAGTCGATGTAACATGATTGTGATGTCTAATTATTTTCTCACTGATTGTGTTCAATTTTTATGGAGCTTGAAGGAATGTGATCTGTAATTAAAAAGAATAATAACATATGAGTAATGAATAATTATAATTTAAATGTGTGTAATAAAATATGTAAGTATGTACCTACACGAATACTTCACGAATCTGCTGCCTACATCAGATTATTTGATGTATAGAACCAGCGACTATCTCTAGTTAGAAATTATATTTTTATAGCTTCTTTATACTATATTTAATTTTCTATTATACATAGACTTATTTATCCTAATATATGATAATAGTGTGTATAAAATATATTTTTTGATGTTTTATATTTTTTATAATTAGCTATGCATGCATGCCTCAAGTATATATCAACAATATTTGTATAACTTATTAAATATTTGATTACTTATCCAATTTATTATAATTTCTACCTACAGCAATATCAAAATATTTCTATTGGAATTTTTAAGGTTTTGTGTATGTAAATTACCTACCTACCTATTGAATAGTTATATCTAATTGAAATTCCTTTACCGTTGACAGGTATGTTAGTTCACTTGTATCTGCTTACGAGACCAGCACGGACCGCAACTAATTGTTTTCTGTCTCAAGTACCTTTCATATTTTTCTTTTTACAAAAGCACTTACTTCCGTGAAAAATGATTGCTTTAATTTGTTTAAAATACAACTTTTACAAGTAGGTAACGTAACGTAGGTACATAATCGACAAATAAAATAAATTTTATTTGAATATATTTATTTGTAGGTACACCGCTAAAATACTAAATTCATTTACAATGTAAACATTAACTCATAAATAATCAACACTTATATACGCAGGTATTGCTCGACGACTCAGTTAACATAACTGTGACGTGAACATAATATTCGAGGCACACATTTACTAATATATTATTGTTACACAATATATATATGAATAATATCATAATAAGTATGTATAGCGTAACTTTACAGTTTTACTATATGCAGAAAAGTATTTTATAAGAAGATTAAGCCTCCCGCAGATGTGGTATTCTGTCCACTTTGACGTATAATATCACATATCCATTTTGATATATTATATCGTATCTTTAAGATTTCCTTTTAATGGCATATTTATATAAGGTATTTACAGTTCTGCGATTTGTTAATCGTTCGCAACAGCACAGTCGGCATTTGACTATTCAAGTATTCACCATAGTGCAATTTGCCACTACTCGTTTTAATTTTTCTCTACTTTATTGTACTGTTACCATAGAATACATAATGGTTGTACGTATAGAAGTTCTCATCCAGAATCTAATTTATATAATTATAGTAAAATGTAGCTTACGCATTGACCCAGCTTCTTCGTCGTTGCTAGTTACGGGTGAACATTCCGGTATTTAATCTATATTAAGTAAATACCCAGTGAATTAAATATTAATTATTTATTAGTAAGTATTTAGTCAGTGTCGACTAAATACTACAGTAGGTTGCTACTTTCCCATAATTATAGAACAGGTATTTATATGCCCATAATATAGCATCGTGGATTTGTCGGCATATCTACCTAAAGTGGTAGATATGCCGACAAGTCCACGATAACCACGACCATTATAATTATTTCGATTTCGTCCCTCGCACTATGCGTACATTTATATGGGTGCTTTCTATGTATATTATGTATTAATTTCCAAAAATGATCTGCTTAATTATTCCTATAAATTGTCTAGTACCCATAACAGTCGCTCTGATTAGCTTGGGACTAGAGTGATTATCCAGGGTTGTCATTGTTATTATAGTTCGTACGATTTAGGGCTCTATAAGTATTCATAGTGACTGTCGAGACGATTTCGATATGATTTTAAACGCTCCTCTATTGCCTCTTTATTTTACTGTCGTTTGTAAGTCGAGCCTTTCTTTATATCGATTATATATAGTTGTTTTATAAATTCATATAGCTGTCTATCGCAAAATAAACTTCGACTTTTATAATTCAAATATAGAATAAACTATATAATATAGAATTAAATTGTATTGCGATGGTACATTGTACAATTTTCTCATGTTTATAATAATCTTAATAACTAATAGTAACTCTTAAGAATAGGCACGTACGGAACATAATTATATTGCGTATAATATACAAATATTTTAAATACGTACACTCCAGCTACATAGCTGCACTATTAACCACTCCTAAGTCAAATATTAAATTAAATAATACATTATATTATATAAGTATATACATAAGACCTAACAAGGTAGCCGTAAGGCACTTGACTGTTTTCTAATTCTACAATTGTGATGAATTTAATTTCAACCCTCTGCATGATGGTATTTTCAATTGTAGATTAAAATTTTACATAAGTAACAGTATACCTATTAATAGATTCATATTAAAAGAGTAGATATCACAAAGGTCAAAGATTTTTTAATAAAAAAACAAACGATGCAAGTAGATGATAACATAGAGAAAACCAGATTTTTTTTTAATTTAGTTTTCTTTATCATCCATAAGAATATAAAAAAATGGGTTTTCATATATTACAATAGGGACTAAAATACTCATTTGATAGATGATTAGTCGTTATCATCATCATTACAAACTGTAAGTACCTTCTCATAGATCACGCAAGCACACAACGCACACGCCTACATGCGGGGACTAAATAATGATTAATGTCACATTTTGTTGTGCAACTTTAGAAGTCGCACGTACATTTCGTGTTTATAATAGTATCAGTGTGATGCTGAAGCAAAGTCCACGTTCACTAATGGTCTTTAGATAGGCTGGTGTCCTCACATTAGTTGATTCCATAGTCTCTCAGCTCTCGGTTGCCGAGCGGCAGCGTCGGCCGGTAGTTGTGGAGCAGTTCCATGGCCTCCACACCGCATGATGCTTCGCCACACCTCAGTTTCCTCATTAGTGACAACTGAAATTACACCAATCATTCTTTATGTAATCGTTCTTACGCTAAGAAAAGGTATTTCGTACATTTGTAAAACCTAATAAATTGCTAAAAAAATTGTTAAAGAACTACATGAGTGGATTATATACGTCATAAATAGTGATTAGTTCTATATTTATGATATAATTATTCAATGTCAGCGTGCTTATATTGAGCCAGGTCTACGTATATCTGAATACTGAACGACCATCTCCGTTTGATTGTAGGTACATAATGGTACAGATGCACCTAAATGGTCATGCGTTTCATTCTTTCTATAGCTGTCATGATGTGACATGTAACAAAAGTACAACAATATTATTTTTAGGATATAATTTCTGTATACAATTATCTAACTTTCATGTTCTTTTTATTTGGTCTACAGCAATAAATATAAAATATAAACGAATAAATATAAAGCCTAAATTTTTAGGTTTACTTTGTTAGTAGTAGTTTAGAACTTAACGTACTATCGTTGTCGTCGATCTCTTATTGTATTAATTTATTGGTAAAGGCTATTACAGAATAGCAGAGAGGGTGAACTAACTGCCCCCTCTGAGTTATAGACCATTTTGTCGCCTTCATTACTTTTAAATTTTATGATTGTATGGGTAGCAATTGTATGTTTTTGATTGAAACAAATAAAGGTGGTCATTGTTATTATTATTATCAAAAATCAAATCGAATTATCAAAAAATAAATAATCATTTAATATTTACTATCGATCGATGGATAATAGTGTTTATGAAATTTTTATATTGTCTTATATCGTTTTACGTACACAGTTATTTTCCTCTAAATACGCAAAAAATTCGAAAGTGTGCTATAAGTTGCCTTAAGTGGGTCGCGCAACTAACACGTCGCGTTGGTAGAGACGAATTATAAATGCGTCAGAAACCGGTATATCTGGACTAGAAACGATTTCAGTATCCTTATTATTTAACATATTCCCTTTCCTTATTTAATATATCCTACGCTGTAGTATGTTGAGGCATTTTATACCTAGTCATTTTTCGTAAATGCTCTGTTTTATTAATCTGTGTGCCTGTCTCATATGATTATATATAAACATTGATAAACTAACACAGAAAGGAATCCATTTCTGGGTTAGGTAATTGATTTTAATAGTCCATTAGGACAAATTTATGTAGCAAAAAGCTTCTGTAAAACCAGAATAGTACCTACCTATGTTGTAACTAGACTAGTGCAAGAGTTATGTATACTGAAGTACGTTACATAAGATTTGAACTAACCTGTTCAGCAGATACTTCAACGGGGTCCTTAAAGAGTATCCATGTGACAGATTCGGTGCAAGGCGGCGTGGTAAGCGAGCCAGGGTAGGTCCAGTACGCGGCGCGGTGTGGCAGCAACTTCGCCGGATCCAGCGGATCGGACATCGTCACTTTATCTCCCTTATGCTGAATGTACGGCAACAGCTTTATCACTTTGTCCAATTCATTGTGTTTTCTTCCAACCTGAAACGCAATATGTAAAAATATTTGTTAATTTATTCATGACAATATAGCTCTTTATTCCCCTACTACGCGTCTTGACACAATATTTAATATATGTACTTTCTTAGAGTAGGTTACGGTGTCCCATATATATATATATATATATATATATATATATATATATATATATATATATAACTATGTCCCAAACTTTAACATTATAGACAATTTATTACCAATATATTTTCTATATAAAAATACCTAGTACTATCTAAGTATTCGGCAGGTAGGTAGGTAATTAATTATACATAAGTATATATATATATTGCAATACATTACAAATAGTGCAGTCATAGAATATATATATATATTATTACATAAATATAATTTCTATGAAGCACTACAGTTAAAAGGATAGTACCTAGAACTGTGTACCTTTCAATAAGTAGTTATCTAATATTTATTAAGTTTTCTTGTACCCGGATGTAAGTGTGTTTTGAGTTATCTAATATTTATTATTTTTTGTATATGTGTATATATATATATATCACATTTTTGCATATATATATATATATCACATTCATACATATATATACCTACTGACAAATAAGTTTTATAGAGAGTGCTAATTTTGGGAAAATCTTCAAAAATTGTACACATATATGTCTTTCACCATTAAAATCAAAGTCATATGTACCGTATACCCAACGACTGGTCGGGATAGAGCCAGTCCAATAAAAACGTATTTTGTAATAACTAATAAGTCTCTACTTATTGCAAACTAATACAGTCTAATATGTATCAAACGAATAAATGTAGAAGTAATTATATGCAACAATAAATATGTATAAAGAATGTAATGGAAATAACTCTACGTACGTAATGTACATTTTTAAACAAGTAGTTATATATGTATAATATATATGTGTAGGGACATATAATATATACATATAATAGTTAGAGCTAGATATTTAATTATTATTTTTATAAATATAAAATCTTTTATATGTCTATGTTTGGAAATTTGAGTTCTTATGATTTCTTTTTTCTGACGTAACAAATTATATAATGATACAATACGACAAGTATATTGCTAATGTTTCAGTGTTATTGAGTATAATTTCTTTAATGTTATGTATTTATGTTTATGAATTTTATTTATTCAGTAATGTGTTAAAAATGAATCACATGATCTACATAACATTCGGCTGTAATATAACATTTAAATAATTCCAAACATTCAAAATAACTTTAAATTTTATTATTAAGTCGCTAGCGTCAATCGGTGTGCAATTAGAACATAATTCTTTTGACAACGTCAACTGCGCCAGTTCACTGCGACGATACTGTCAGCAATCGCCGCGTCGGAGAGAAAGTCCCTCTCGGAAGCCGAGAGAATAATTCTGCTATGTAATCATCAGCCACCGGTATTCCACACATTTTGACGTATAATTTGTTGTACATATGACGGAAATAAACAATCAACCTAACGTTCTGTTTGCGTCATGGCACCGCTACTACTACGAATAAATACCTATACACGTAGTATGAGTACATAAAGAGTACATTTCTATTGTACATACAGTGCTATGCAGAAATCGAACTAACTAAATACATTATTTCGTTTAGTAACCAGTGAAGTGGAACTGAATATTTTCCGCCTTAATATTGTAAGTGAAAAATAAAATCATTTAACTCTACTTGGAGCACTTATACATATAAAAAACTGATCAAATACGAATAGATATAATCTTGCATTATTAGTGTTCTTTTACAATATCTTATATAATAGAAGTAGTTAAAATTATTCTGTAACTACCTATATATAAATTTTTTAACACTATTTTTGTCTTAATACAAAGTATTAACAGATTTGCTTGTCATAAACTTTTTTAAATTTTCTGATCCGACACATAAATCAATGCTGTTGTACATCCATCTCATGAATAATAAGTATAATATTTATGTAGCTACTCATTTAATACCAAATATTACATAGTTACTACAGAAGTTGTTAGGGTATTGTGGTTATATACATGAGATTATTGCCATGTTGTTTAAAAAAAAAAAAGATAATAATCGGTGCCTACCTACACTCATCATTTAAAGGTGCTTATCAGCGTAGGTATTGTATAAATAACTGACCATTAAGATGGTTATTTTATATTTCACTACATGACATAGATGTATAAAAAGTTTTTAACTGAATGTCAATTAAATACATTACAAACTGCATATAACGATGTTGTAGGGACTACGAAAAATGGAGGCTGTGACCGGACAGTCGTAGACAGTCATCATCATCATCATCATCGCAGCCCGGAAGACGTCCACTGCTGGACATAGGCCTCCCCCAAAGATCTCCACGACGATCGGTCCTGTACTGTCGTAGACGGTATGTAGATATAATTATTAGATTCCGCCAGGACTAAAGCCTGCTATTTAGTCGTATTAGCCTATACGTCATAAATGACGTCGTTACATCCGGTTTTTACTATAATAAGTACAAACGTTAGACAAAAACAAATTTCTATATGGCCAGTGAGTTGTTGATTCTATAGCATTACATTTGAGGATCAGCATGTATTTACAGAGTTAGAGATCATAAGTAAACACTTATAACAAGAGATCGTCTCATGTTGTATGTTATTATGGTTCCGTAACCTTTTCCTAACAAGCTTCTAAACGATATTTATATTAAAATATATGAAATAATATTATGTTATTGTGCGACCTAAATCTATTCGGTAAATAATTTATAGATTTTTTATTTACCATTAGTAGTACTCCCAAGACTGCTAGTCCATCGGGCTGACCAGCAGCTTCAGTGAAACTGTGGTACTTGGTGGTGTTCCAGTGCACAAGATGGAGTTCACCAGAGAAGGAGCGGCCGTCCACTGTGTGCTCAGAACCCTCGCCGTTCACTGCACCCCAATGGCAATGCCACTGCTCCAGTTTATAGACATCAGATCCGAGAGGACCGCCACGTAAATCTGTAAATGAGTAAATAAATAAATAAATATCGTATATAACAATAAGTGAAATTATTAGTTAAGTGTCCTACATTAGTACTCTAGAATGAAAACGCGAGAGGTATCACGGATGTTATTATAACGTGATATTCGTACTGCTGTTCATATACGCGAACAGCCAGCAGCCTGTTTGCCATTAACATAAAAAAAACAGATATATATAATAAAAGATATAAGTAATAATATTTCGTTCTTTGAACTTTAAACGGATAATAACGAATAATAGTTTAGGTATGTGATTATTTATACCTTTTTGAGAATATGTATTTTCCTTATCAATATGCTCAAATTGTAACAAAATATATTTCATAAAAGATAGCCTATATCCGTCGTCACATTACATTATTTACAGACAGAAACGCCGACATTTGTACATACTTGTGGTAGACCAATGGTTGCATTCGACCATAATTAATTTAAATCATAAGTTTGAATATTATTAATTATTTCCATTGTATAATTTCTAATTGATATAATATTCTTTGTGTGTTTGTGTCAAATACAAGGTAGTGTACTTAAATATATATTTTTTAAAAAGGGGTACAAAGTGTTTCCTTCAAGTATTAATATAATGAGTACCGAATACCTACAAATAAACAAAACTTTATATACCTAACAGTACCCTCCATATTGTAGTACGAGCGTTTGCTCGTACTACAACATGTTCTGTGCCCACTCATAAAGAATGGAAACTGCTAAAACTGATGCTTATAATTTGTGTTTTTGTCGACCTCTACTTACAGAATTGTTATTTCTATACAATGACTGAACAATTGTTGGGCGCCAATGAAATGATTCACTTCGTGTGTGGTTTAACAATAACTTTTCTATTACATCCTAATATCGTAAGGTGCTTGCTTTACATTATATCAAATTTATATGCCCATAAACGAAACACAAATTGCATAACCACTTTATTTAGAAAGCCTTGAATTTAGATATTACGACTCTATACTAATATTATAAAGAAGAATGATTTGAATGTTAGTAGGTATGTTTGCAATGAATAGACTCCTAAACTAGATTTAAAAAAATATTTTACTCAATGGTAAAATATTTTTTTCTATATTACCTATATACCTACTGATCATAGACGATAGAATATTTTCAAAACGTTAGTCTTCTGTATAAAAATATAGATAATTTAATTTTAAGTTTAAAAAAATACCAAAAATAATCCTTATATCGTATACTCGCGGAAATGACAATAGACCAACGTGATGTAAACTATATTTTATACAAAATATTAGAAGAAATTGTGTAGCAATAGGGCGGTCTTATTATTATCAGTTAATTTATATTTACTACTTTAATTACTTTCTGTATTTGGTTATTGCACCAAGCAATAAGCGCATAAATAAATAAAATAAAATTAATATCCAAGGGTAAACACCCTAAAATATTGATTTTATTTTATGTGTTTGTTTTAATTTTTTTTTGTTAAATACCCGTAGGATAACGGGGTAGGCTACTAGTATGTATTACATATTAGTTAGGAGTTGTGAAGGCATCGAACTTGCAACTATAGGATCACGAGGCAGTATGTTTAAATTTAGATAGCTTAGACTTATTTACAAGAGTTGTACAAAGTTACAATAAAGTTTGTTGTTTATTAATTAATAATGTCTGTTATCTGAACATAGTCTTATGTAACGATAAATAAACAATAACTGCTATATAAATTTTGACAATGATTTTTAATAAACATGTAGATATTATCAATGTAATATGTAAACATACACATTAATTAACGGCTTAATATGCCATTTATTAGAACAAATTTGATAACAATGATTTAAATAGTTTTAACTACAAGAACTAAATTGTAACGACATGTTATTGAGATACGATAGCCGTTATATGATAGCGCGTTATATCATGTCTTGACATTATTATGTAAAAGGTTAGCGATTATTAAAAAGGACCACCTACTACTACCTCCTACAGATGAAGCGGCTAAGTTAGGTACTGTATTCTTAGTGCGTAATGGAAATTAAATCGAGAGTATCGAATATATGTGTGTGGCCAGTTTATTGTTTCTGAATGTTCGATTTGTTTGTATTAGGAAACGAATAAATAAGCTGGGTGTGAGATAATCACACCGGGAGAATATGAGTCATCGCTAGGGGAGCCGCGTCCAAAGCGATGCGATGGAAATGCAAATTGGATCACATTATGCGCTATATAGGTCCAATTTCCTTTTCTATGTAGATACACATTTGTATGCAAGCATATAAATAATAGAAACACGTTAAAATCGTTGCGTTAGTTTTCAAATGAAATAACTTTAACTCTGCGTGGAAAGACAGTTCTTCCGATCGACGAAACGTGCAATAAATGCTATACATATGTAAACTATCATAAAAGATATATATACACATATGTATGTAGTATATTAGAAAACAAAAACTGCTTGTTACATTGCCACTACCAAATATATGCATTCCCTGCTACAGAGCATAATATTAGAGTATATTACAATTATAATGTAAGGGAATTGATGTCTCGGTAGCAAATAAAGTCGATAAAATTATAAAAAAAAAATCTTACAAATTTTATAATCTACCGAAATAATGGTCTTTATTTTGGTACTAAGGCAGATTATTGATGCCTTATAGTAACACAACAGCAATCTCAAATTTTCTTGCAAGTTCAGGACGAATTTAATAAAGTGTGACATGGAATGTGAAGAGGTCTTAAAGTTCTAAGTATCAATAGTAAAAATTTGAACTATAAACGAAACATTTTGAAATATCTATTTCGATAATATTTAATAAAATTGCACTAGGACTCTAACAAATGGGACAAAATCTGTGATAATCACATCAAGGACACACAATTCAATACATGCATACATCCCTGTACAAGGGAATACAGATAATTTGGGAGCCTAAGTAAGACTAAGTAAATAAAAAATAATGCTTCTATTTGTTTGTAATGCTCAATCCAAAAAGACTTGATTGATTCTAAATATCTTTTACCACAGAAAGCCTCATTATCAGCGAGTAAACGAATTCCACGAGGATAGCGTGCGGAATATCGCAGTCATAGTACCCACATGTTATTATTTTAGGCATTAACTATTTTAGTTATCATAAAAAAAATCTATGCATACCTGAATCGTAACCATTTTCATCCACCCGCCAACAATATCCTGGATTGACAACGGACCGTGTATGATTAACTGAGTACCGCCATAGTAGGGGCGGGGCGCTACGGCCGTTTCGGGCTCGGGAGGTATCAATGTCCACGGGGCTTTGGCGAGCTCCTCTTGCTTCTGGGAACTTCTCTGTCCATGTTGCAGGTCCTGGTAAAAGATTTTGTTTGAATTAACTGATTGCTCTTCTAATAATTTTATTGAACGCAAATAGGATCTATTCTGGAATATGTTTACTATAAAATTTTGTGATTATTGAGAACAAGTCTAAGAGACTAGAGATTTTATAAAATTTATACATTTTAAAAAATAATGAAATATAATGCATACATTGATGAATCAGCTTGTCTTTAAACCTAGAAATATTTATCTACACGGCTTCTAATTTACGAACTGTATTCTGTCTCTATTAATTTCTCATTTTGATAATTGTAATATAGATATACAATATATTACGGTACGAGAGACCATAATGGCTTGTTGCTCTTTTTTTATCAATTGTAGTTTAAACAAATGACTAAGAACAACAATATTTTTATTCTATATGATCAGATTAGACACTCAAGCAGGTGGGAAGATTGTAATGACCATTATAACCTTATTTACTTTAAAAAAACTAGATGCAAGTAGTAAGTAGCGTCCAGGTTTTTATGTAGATATATCATCAGCAAGTGCTTATATTAAAATTGTGTGAAAGTAGTGTTAAAATGCACTTTTTTGCGTTACTGTATTGTACTCGCAAATACTTAAAAGATAGTTAGGTATCCGGTAGCTAGGTAGAATTAATATAAAGCTACCGAAACTGTCAGCCTGTGTAACATATCTTGTTTAATCTTTATCTTATCGGTCGCCCCAGCACAACAAGACGCCGCGTGCTACCCGTGTTTCATCATTCGAGAAAAATTCACAAAATAACATTTTTACAATGATTAATCTATCTGTTTTATGACTTCCAGTATATATAATCTAAACCTCTTAAGGACTTCGGATCTGCTGGCAGTAGGATGAACATTATTTTATTTATATTTAAAAATTTGTCTTAAACTATAACTATGTAATATTATGTTATCTGTGCTATAACAAAAATTTATTAACAAGAGTAGTAGCATATATACTACACCTAATCCGTTAATTCTATGGCGTTACCTTTAATTAGTGAAGTAATTGATTATTTGTGATGTTGCTGCATTCATGTTAAATACAAATTTTAGAATTATTCAGAATAAGTTTAGTCTAAAATGTTATTCTACTCGTACCTATATTCTGTCTTTAAAATTTATAGGTATTTTAATATTACTTATAATATTATATATTAATTACTTATATTTATACAATTTAGGAAACAAAGTTAAATAGTTTCAGAAAATGTCATTTAAAAATTAACAATGATAAATTTCTTTATACTACTTTACTGCATTAGGTATTCTATAGTTACGCTAAATAACGTCTTCAATTTATTCTAACAGTCTAATAACTATTTTGAGTGAAATGTGAATTACCTATAGAAGATCAAACAAACAACTCGTTTAAAGTCATTATGCGGCATTTACTAGAACCATTGTCAGTTTGACCTTCATAACATAAATGCCTGGTAAATTTTAAAATGTTTTTAATTCCCACTAAAGTATGGTCTAAGCAAAATTGGACTTAATTCATTGCGATGAATCTCCTCTATTAACACATAATAAACCACAGAGTCTCTTGGACCTTTTTACTATACTGTTATTCCGGACATTCATAGAAAATATTTATTTTGCCCTAATAAAGACTCTTTACTGTGTATGGAGACCCCACAATAAAGTCCTAAGGAACAGCAACATTGTTACAATGTATACTATACTAATAATATAATATATTTGCTCATTACCACTTAGGTATCTTCAGGTTCGTTTATGAGCATGTTCGTTATTCTAGTCGTTTATAAAACTAATATAAATAAACTATAAATGCTATATTGTATATTCTGTGTACATATACTTTATCCATAAAATTACTAAATGGCTAAAAGATCAGTTTCTTTTAATAAGTGGTACCAGAATTTACTAGGTAGTAAATATTTGGAGAGATCTAAGATTTTATTACTAATAAATAAATGTAATGTAATTCATGTTAGAACTCTACCTTTTTGAGATTTTTAGAACTATTATTGATATAAATACAATGTAGAATCATAACGCTTATTAGGTATTATAATTGACTTAAATACTAGGTAGATACAATCGAGTACTACTACTACTAATCCTGTATTTATTATACATTCATATAGAGTTACTTTAGTGCAAGGAATGTAGATATTCTTTATATAAACAATTTATCACGATATTCGTAATTCTTTTGTTATGTTTTCTTTAATTTGCAATCGAAAATTACTAATTGTCTTTCATAATTTCTAATTTGATTTGATTAGATGATTTAGACAAAATATTTATTCACTGTTCAGTACCTATATATAAGAATGTACCTACGTCTTTATAGCATATCCCGGAAGTAAAACTCTTGAAGTTGTACGTCGGAGGCGGAGCTGCAGTCATCAACCTTGTCGAGATAAACGAATAATAAATATCTACAACCATGGTTAAGGTCACACAACAGTGAACAAAGTAATTGTTACGATTTACTATTAGTAAATATAGAACGAATAATTAATTAATCAGTTGGTAGTAGACGGAATTGTGATGACGAAAATTACACATTAGAGAAATAAATATTAAATGGCTGTGAGCTGTGCTACACCTATCATGGGTTTATCACAATTCACAACTCATCTCCTTTTATTTTGACATCAAAGTGTTTTTTCTATTACTGCCAGGTATATTTTTCATAAAAAACTGACTATCTATCAGGAAGTTTATATTTTATGAATAATATGGTTAGTTTCCATTGGATAAGAGAATAAGCAGGTGGTATTACTGTCGTATTTCACCATCTATTTAGATCACTCTCCAGCTGCACGTGCGTAATGCCAATTACGTTCACGAAAAACAATATCGGTCCAATATCAACAAATGAGATATGAATAACTTTGCTAGATATTATTAAGAGATATTCAATCAATCGTCTCCTGGTATCACATACCTAAACGCTCTCTACTAAGATGTCTACAGAAAAGTATCACGGCTATGGGGAAAAATAATACATAAAAACTTATTGAATTCAAATTTAGATCAATTGTACTTTATTATTTTATACCTACGTTATGCGGTATATTTGGCAAATTAAATGACTTATTATTTTTTTATAAAAGGGTTATTATCTATATTTTGATATTAGCAAATATTGTCTACATGACAGGTTTTGAAAAAAAAATACAATTTCACTCTATTGATGTGTCTTTTATATTTCTATAGTATATTTGTTGACTCAGAATTTTAGTTGTTTTTAATATTAGCGAGAAGTTTTTATCACAGTCAGTCTAACCGTAAAACGCTAACACACGTTTAGCTTTTCACCTACAACGTTACAGATAAACAAATAGTACCCAAGAAACATAATAAATTTTCAGAAAACAACAAGTAAACATAATAAATTTGTCAATGTCAAAACAACCTCTCATTCGTTTCTGTAGAGCCAGGCTTCTAGCGTATCTACAGAAGTCTATGTATAAACATCGTTCTTTATCTTTATTTTTAAGTTTCGTGTTTAGTACACATTATTAATACAGTTAATTGAGTTGACAAATTTTATTTCAAATAAAGATATTTACTTTTCCTGATGTTTGGTGACGTAGATTGCACTATCCGTGTTCACGTTATCCGTGTTAGTATACTGGAGTAGAGTGATGTCAATGTCGGTAGTCAGCAGATTATAAAACTACCGTCACTAGATTGTCCAACTAAAAATCGCGTGATACAGCACTCACTCAACTTGCTTTTTTGGTATTTTCTGTTAAATGAAGCACTAATCAAAGGTTCGTGTTCGATTGCTGACAAAAGACATCTATGGCTGCCTCCTGTTGTATGTACAAATGTATTGAGGGCATTTCAATTGCTTATCGTGATTGGCCTCGACCTTAGTTTGTTGACTGTGGTCGTGAGTTTCGACCTTGTCCACTCACAAGCATTGGTCTTATTTATTTTTTATTTTTGATATACCCTAATGATTTAACCTGTCACGAATTCCGTGTTATTTCCCTAAAAAATCTCTACAGTTCTGATATCATTACCTCAATCAATATCGTCGATGTTGTCGTTGAGCTCCTCAATGAGTTCGTTAACAACTAGGTTCCAAAGAAGAGGTGATAGGACCACTCCTTGTGGACATCCTCTGCTCACGATACCTCGTGTGGTAGTGTTAACAGTAAACTTCTTTAATTAAATAAAAGAGCCCGGCTTATGCTGTCAATTAATACAGTTAATTGAGTTGACAAATTTATAGATAGAGTGATGTCAATGTCGATATCACAAAAGCTGACAAAAAGACATCTCAGTGTGCAATTATCGTGGCCTCGACCTTGCTTACTCACAACTGATTTATTTTTTAGATATACCCTAATGATTTAACCTTCAATTTACTTTTCCTGATGTTTGGTGACGTATTTTATAGATATACATATCAATTGAAAATTTATTCATAGCAAATACATTGTACTATTTCTTTAAATTTAGGTAGTCACATGATTAAACATTTATAAAATCGTCTTAGTTCTTTTAAAATTTTTCTACAAAAACATTATTATCGTTAACGAATTCTTCAATTTTATAGTAAGCTTTTTTGCAAAGTTTTTATTTGACATTAAAATCTTTTTTCTGGCAGATTTATAACAGACTCCGGTATTTTATTGTAAAACGATAAAAACGAATTACTAACTTTAGCCAAACGACATTTACAAACCAAGTGTTAATCACAACAACTGTCATATTCTTCCTGGCATACCATAAATATATTGAGAAGCAACAATATTTGATTCCTTGTCATTATAAATGGAGCGAATGGCAAAATAGTATATTTAATATAGCAAATACATTGTACTATTTCTTTAAATTTAGGTAGTCACATGATTAAACATTTATAAAATCGTCTTAGTTCTTCACCGTTTTTATTGCGATAAACATTAATCCGCGTTACAAACCAAGTGTTACCAACAACTGTCACACCAAGTGTTAGCAACAATCCTTGTCATTATTGGACACAGATTTTTCCGTATCTTGGGG